CATAATTGTTCTTAAATTGTAGTATGAAGATATATTTCTTGAATCACGATCTCATGGTAGTTGCAAATGGATCTTAAGCATTTTAAATATAATGTGGTTGCTAAATATAAAATTATTAAACATTCTTCAAGCTTTATATATGTACATTTATGATTATTGTGATTAATGCGATTAAGTACACACTTTTTTGTTTACAAGTTTCAATGTGGAGAACATCAGCTACACTGTTAGGATGTTAGGGGTCTGGACAAGGTATGAAATTTTAAAACTTGTATCTGCACCTTTTATAAGCCACAACTTTATGTGCCTGTTTTTACCCTAGGATTTAAGAACTTTATGAACTTGATAATTAAACATTTACTGTTGCTCATCCCTATAATTTTCTATTGCTTATATTTTTCCTTCTTACCATTTTATTTCCTTCTTACCAAGCAGAGTCTGAAATCATTATTCACCACAATACACGAGTAAATTGAAAACAGATAACACGGCCCTAACCACCAAAAATCTAACAACACAACAACAAATTCAATAAAGATTAGGTTTTGTCATTATGCAATGGTTCCGGTGAGTTTTTTTTTTTTAAATCTCTAATTTACATCTATGATGATCTTCTATCTTTGTTGTATGTCAATTGCTCTAACTTTTTTTAGTTAAAAAATGAATTTCGATTATTTTCTTAATATCGTATCCTTTTTTATTTTTTATTTGTGTTAAAAATTTCTTCTTATATGTACTACTTAAGAAGAAATTGAATGTTGATTCTTTTCCTGATATTCCTCTCTTTATCTTAATTATTTTTTTCCCGTTTGCTAATTAGACAAGAAAATCTATGCATATTTAGAAGTCTTAAAACCCTGCCCCAACGTTTCGTCCCTAGAGACGAAATGTTTCGTCCTCCTTTTTATTTGTTTATTTTTTCATTTTCTACATTCATTTCTGGCTTCTAGTTTGATGCATTTGACCCTCTTTTCATGTTCCTCAACGTGTTTTTCACCACTAAGAGCTCTCTCTATCTCTCACTAACTTATCTTACCCTTATCCTTGATTTTAGGCTAGGAAACCATCACTTTCGAGGTCCAGAGCAGCAACACCATCAACAACACCAAGGCCAAGACCTAGGTATAAATTAAAGTATTAATTACAAAAATTCCTCTTAAATTATATCCCTCGTAACAGTTGGTCCCTTGATCTTTAAAACGTAACATCCATTCCCGTTGAAGAATGAAATGTTAACAAAAAAAAAGCCCTTCATTAAGTTTTTAAATGAAATTGACATTTAATTTGCCATTTTGAGGATATTTTGATAATTCTATGGTTTGAAATTTAATTTGAATTTAAACTAATTTAAATATTCAAAAAAAAACTTTATAATTTTTTTATTCTACCAAAAAAATTATAAACCATATAGCTACCAAAATACCCCAAAATAACAAATTACATGTCAATTTCCCCTAAAAAAACTAACGGAGGGCTTTTTTTTGTTGATATTTCATTGTTCGAGAGAATAGATATTATGTTTCAAAGATTAGGGAGCAAAGTGTTAAAAATGGTATTGTTCACGGGGAATTTTTGTAATTATTTTATTCTTTAATTGTTTCAATTTGGGATTCTTCTTGTTTGGATAGAAAATCCTTTGTTAGAAAATAATTATTAGACGTATTTTCAATTGAATGGGATGTTGCTTGAGCGTTTGTAGAGGTTATATTCCTGTTGTTATGGCTCAAGGCTCTATATTTTTCTGGTTTGAAGTTTTTTGGTTATTGTATGTTTTATTTTTAGCTTCTGAGAGTTTTGTTGAAGTGTCTTTGGATTGAGAAAGTTTGTGAAATACGGTTGTTTTATTGATCATTTCTTTACTTTGTTTAATTTTTATTTGATTTCTCAATTTCTTTAGTGACTTGTGTATGTATAGCTCTATTATTGTTCTTTTTTATTAGTATTAATGTCCTTTTATTTCTTTTCAAATATACAATTCTCAGTATTTGTTTTCTTTTTTCTCCGCCCCCTTCTCCTTCTTGAGCCATGGACCTTTTTTTTTCTTCCATGTTTGTGCTTCTCCGTTCTCATATTTTTTTATTATGGGATTTTATTCTGTTCTAGGATTTGATTATTACTTTAATTGGGATCTTGTTAATTGTGCCTCTATCTCTACTCGAGTTTATCTTCTTGATGCTTGATTTTTTTCGCTCTCCTTTTTTTCTTGCTTGTTTTTTTATATATTTTAAGAAGTTAGGAATTTTGTTTGTTCTTTGTTTGGATTGTTGTTCTAATTTGGTTTCAGATTGTATTTGCCTGTTAAAATATGTAAAGATTTGTTTTCCACAAGTTCTGGAATTTAGTCATTTTCCTCTGTTGTCCTTACCATCGTTCGATTGAGGATTTATCTGAGTAAGCTATCAGCTTCTCTTCTTCTCAAAACAAATTCTTCATGCTGTACCCTAATCAACTAATTTACAATTCTACAAAACTTCCTCTTCTTTCATTTTACTGGCGTTCTGGTATGTGAATTCCATTAATATTGCCGAGTCAATTCAGATTGAGACTCAGTCCTTTTCTTTTGGTGAAGGAAAATTCTTTGCTTTGCATGTGGCTGCTGCAATTGATTGGATTGAGGTGTGTTCACATTTCTTAATTGCTCTTTACTCGTCTTGGGACAGATTTTCTCTTTTCTCTTTTCTTTTCTTTTCTTTTCTTTCTTGGGAAGGTGTTTGTCATGCTGATGATGAGTTTTTCTGGGCTTTGTGTGGTTTAGCCTCTTTCCATGCTTTTGGATCGGTTTGGTACTTCTTTGATGTAACATCTCAAACGTTTTCTTTTGATTATCTGTCAATACGCAAATTTGCTGAGTGGTCGAGGTTAACTTAATTAAAATTATAAATGCCTAAATTTTCTTTTAGTTCGGGGTTTTATTTACTTTCTTCATTGGGTCTGTTTTCTAATAAATTAGTCTTTTTGAGGTTGATTTCGTTTTACTAATAGACGATTCTGTGAGTTTTTTGGTTATTAGTTTGATGAGCTTCAAAGTTTTTCGGATACACCTGCCTTGTTAGTAACAAGGATTCTCTATACTTGATGTCCAACTCTTGTTTTGCTTTCTTTAAGGCGTGGCTGTTGTTGAGGAGTGAGATCGCCCATGTCCTGTGGTATGGGTTCCTCCTTGTATAAGCGTCTGTACAAAATGAAGTATATAATTAGGAAATGGTTAAAAAAAGTGTACCGTGAGAAAAGTGAATCATAAAAAAAGCAAGAACAACCACGCTAGCTCATAGAAAAATAAAAAATAAAAAATAAAAAACACCACGTAGCTCATCTTTGAGCCAGAAAAAAAAATCTTAAATACAGATAATTTTGAAAATGTACATAAAACTGATTATTTATATATGCAAAAGGTGTAACGCCCGCCATTTACTTTAATAGATAAATAAAGAACTTAATGATTTAATGAGACGGTAATGTTATTTTATGAAATTTATGTTAAGTAAATTAACGTTTGTGTTGAGTTGTATTACAAGTGACAGTAACAAGGAATTAATGTGCTCACGAGATTCATGTTAAAAAAAATTATGTATTTTTATTATGGAAAAATTCAATAATAATGCATAATAGTATAAGTGATACATTATGGTGCATTATTATTTAATTATAATGATGAAACGATGCTATATTATATTATATTATATTATATTATTATCACAATATTTTGTTTACTATTCCCATATGATTTTATTTTATGATTTATGTTACAATGCAAATATTAATTACATGCCAATCTCATGATTTCTTGGTGCTATGCGATTATTAGCATATGATATTGATTGATAATGGTTTAGGAATTTTATATATGATTTATGGCAAGTTTATTTGATGGAGATATGCCTTAATTTGCATTCAGAGCTCAAATTATGAATTTCTATTTCTCTTATTCCTTTTACACTAGCATTTGACTTGATATTCTCTTATTAGATGTGTCAATCGTGATTGATAGACTCAAATCAGAAACTAAAAAACGGAAATCGTGATTGATTTATGGCAGTGTTTGAAGTTGGTTTTGTTTTGTTTTTTTTTTTTTACATTTTTCGAGAAAGAAAAAATGAAAGCATGAGAGAAACGGCGTTTGACACAATTAAAGACAAAAAACGGAAATAGGAGAGAAATAAAAAATGACTTTTAATCGTTTTTTATTTTTTGTTTCCGTTTTCTCCTTTCTCGAGCACAGAGAAAGACATTAATGGATTTTTTATACTGAAAACAATCTCTTGATAAAACTACCAAATACATTTTAAAAAATAATTTATGTCTGAAATTAAAAACATTTTCATTTTCATTTTCATACAAAAAATAAAATTATTTTAAAATGAGTTCCACCCAAAATTCTCTGAGCCCTATCTCCCTTCACATATATCTCTATCTCACTCTTTCTTGCATTGAAGCCCACACCAGGCAAGAACTAAAAAGGTACGTTCTTGGGATTGTAATGTGTTTATACATAGATAATGGCGGTCAGGGATGAATATTTGATGAGGACGATTATGGATATATGTTATTGTATGAATAGATGTATATAAAGCTATGTATAGTGTCAATCAGATTTAGTAATGAAAAATACAGAAATTCATTTCCTATTCTTTCTCTCTCTTCTTTACACAAATTAGTTACTAAAATTTCGGGGTTTTTTTTTCAAACTTATTTTGAAACACAGTTAAATTTTCTTTTTGCCATTCATCATCTATAAAGGTCGCAAAATTATTTTAAATGATTTAAAATAGTCTTCCATGTAAAGTATCAAACGTGATACTATAGATACTATCGGTTTTAGAGTCTATTTAAACGGTTTTATAAAACCCTCTTGCTTATTTTAAATAATTAGAATATTTTCCATCATTTCTCAAATCACCTTTACTTTCGTGAAATTAATCTAAAGGAAATTCGAATTAATAATTATAACTTCTTTCAAATTATTTACACTAACTATAACTTTAAACCTTCTTAACTTTATGCTGAATTTAACTGCATGGTAGTATCCATTGCCCAATTCCTCCACTGTACACGTCTTTCGTCGCAAAGCCCATCACTGAATTATAGGTTGTTTACCTACAACATGAACAAACTTATGAGCTGAAGCTCAGCAAGTACAAATATTTGTCACAAAATATTTTTCACAACGAGCATCATCAAGTAAGATTACATGTCCATTTATGCTTATTATAGATTATCCATTTATCATTATTGGGCTCTATGCACGTACCAATGCGCACAGCCATGAGGAGTGGGGAAACGACCCAAACATTTAGTCCAACTACACCCAAGGTCATTAATAAGATTTTATCGATTATGATCTCCCATTAGAAGCCCGAGAATAATTATCCTCCATTAGATTTCTGAGATCTAGTACGACACTTTACTTAGTCTCATTACCTTGATCTCTTACTTAGGTGAACATGCAATTATGATTATGTCACAAAATAATTAATTTAATGTACTTTAAACAAGAGACATTCATGTGACAAAGAATAAATGCAATGCAATCAAGCAAGCAAATTTCTCAAGCGAAACATTTTAAAACCTTTCATGTTGTAAGTGATGTTTGTACTCACCTGTGCGCTATTGCTTAGCATATACCTACCGCACATCACCTTCATACGATAGTACGTTCCGTATTCACCATTATCAATAATCGATCGTTAATTCGTTATTTAATTTTCCTCACTTCTTTTGTTTAAGTCTTAGAGACTTAGTCTTCCAACCTAATTTAGGATTAATCAATTCTATTAATTATTTTCCTTTTAATTTCTTATTCGGTCTTCTTTATTAACTGATAAAATTAGTTAATCTCCCTTTGTACTTTGTTAATCATTTTAGGTTAATTATTCTTGGTTATTTACATAATTATTTCTTATTAATTAATTAAGTAATTAATTAATCTACTTAATTAATTAATAAGTTCATTATATCTTATCGATTTATAATTCCGATAATCACTATCTTAAAGTCTAGGAATACAACTTAATTGGGTTCCTAAGAGTATTCTTTCGGTATACCGTTAGGTTACCTCTTTTTAAATTCACTTGGGTTTACCAAATTTTTAATCATTCCTAAGTATAGGATTGGGCCTTAGGGACTTGTGTCTTAACTAATCATCGGGTAGATTTTCCTAGGTTTTCTTAGAGATTACCTCATCTCTTACTTGGGCCTTTTGGATTGGGTCCAAGCTTTGTAACCTAGTTGGTTTCCTTATAATCAACCTAAGGGTTACCTCATCCATGATTCGGGCCGCTGAGCCCTTTTGAACTTCTGAAGCTAATGGAGTTCATAAGATGCCACTTCTGGTCTTCTAAGTGTCCTTAGATAAGTGTTCACGACTATCAACGGATGATTTTACCCTTTTAGGAAATTACCGTTTTACCCTTAGCGAGTTTGGTAGTTCTAAGATTACAAATCTAAGGTACTCATTTCCTTAATCATTTTTCCTTCAAGAACCTCGATCTAAAACTCGGAGCTCGGTGTCCATTTGACTGTTTTACCCCTTTATGTTCAAAATGACTGTTTTGCCCTTACTGGCTTTCTAAGTGACTAAAGGGTTTAATTTGGACTTTCGTAATCTTTTTCTACCTTATTAAGGTTATGACTTCTATTTACAGGCTGAACCTCTATAAATTAACATTTTACCACTCGCGTTGAGAAAATTGACATTTTTGCCCTTGGGGTCAAATTTAGTCGCTTTCTACGGTAAGCTCATTTAGACATGAGGATCAAAACTTTAAACTAGACCTAAGGCTAATTCTCACTAAAAAGATCATTTTACCCTCAGTCAAGTTTGGTTAATGAAACTTCTGAGTGCGATAACTTTCTATCAGTGCGGAATTTAGAAAAACTCCAAACATCAACTTTTCTCCACTCATCTAGATCTACACCTAAGCCTAATTTGGTCTCTATCTAGTACCTCCTTTGTAAATTTTCTCGTTTTTAAGCTTAAGGGTGTTTTCGTCCATTTTTATTTTTGAGTGTTTCTCGGATCTGGTCCAAACTTTCCAGACCCCAATAGATCATATATTAGCAGTGTAAAGCCCATAGTTTAATGCCATACTGACCACTTTTCATGCCATATTAGTTTAAAGTTTGCATTTTTCCACAATACTATTCCTAGTCTACCACAAGTTTGTGTCTTTTACTTTGTTACCATGTTTTCAACTCTTTAAAAACCAGATCTAGGGTACTAAACACAGCCATTACATATTTATCTTATCAACTTCACAATATCATAGATCTAGAGGCCAATCTCTTAGAAATAACAACACTTTTCATAATCCCAACAAATATTAAAAGTCTAGAGTTTTGAGGTTTTTACCTTAGATTTAAGACTTTGTTTGCTTTAGAGATTCCTAGATATCCTCTTGATGGATACTCTAGGAGGAAAGAGCACAAGTTTTTCAAAGCTTGGAAGGAAGAACTCAAAAGTGAATAAAATCAAGTTTATGGTATAAGTTTCTTACCCAATCTTCTTCAAAACCCTAGATCTTCAAGCCATAATCCAAGATTTGAGGAGCTTGATTGAGGAAATTTTTGGAGAGTGAGAGGGAGAGGGGTTCGGCCAAATAGAGGAGAAGAGGGAGAGAATTTGTCTTGATTTTGGCTTAGGAGAAGAAGAAGGAAAATGGGATTTTTCATTCTTACCACACCTATTTATATACAAGAGTGAGGAGAGACAAAATTGCAAGAAAATTTTGCTCAAAAACCCTAATGATGACTGGTTTCCTATGCATGGAGAAGAGAGAAAATTTTGCAAATTTCTAGGTGTAATCATGACACTTTAAACCTTAATCTATTGGGTAATTTCTCTTTTTGTCTGAAGTTTATTAACTAAGGGTTCTTCCACTTTTTCCATTTTTAGAAAGATTCCACATCACATAGATTTGACAAGGCATAGGAGAAGTAATCTTTTTGTCTTATATGAGTTAGTGGTAGTTTTAATTTTCATCAAATCCTAACCATTGGATTATAATCTTTCTTGAGACACCTCCTGATGTGATAAAAAACATATCAGTATAAATTCATACCGACAGTATCAATTAGTCTTACTGATTGTATGGCAAGAGTTGGCATGATCGGGTCTTTGCTTTCGAATACTGTTATAAATAAGATTATCTATTTACTAACATTTTTTTTTTAGAAATTTGACTTTCAATATTACGGAATTAATAAATTCCAATTTCCTATGTTGCATCATGTCTCAATGGGAATTACAATTTTCGATTATCAGTCTTGACACTTTTACTTTTGTACTGAAATTCACGAGATGCTTTTATCCGAGAAATTCCATCACTTAAATTCACATTTGAGAATAATGAATGTGACACCTTGTAACTTAAATCACTTGTCACAAAATAAAATCGTCTTACTTAGCATTAGAATTTCATATTACGAAAATGTACGAATTAATAGGAAAACTCATTATCTTAATCCAATTTACGGGATTTGTATTAATGAAATTTTTCGGACATTACATTTTCACATAACGCTAACATCATGGATTTAAACATATCCAGAATTCAAATTCATTAGAAACACACTTTAATCATGTCATGAGAATTATCGATCAAACCAAACCATAGAATTCTCTCTAGTACAATCTATAAAATTCACATGTCATTCATGAAAACCCTCTATCAATAAAGCATAAAATTTATACCTTGAAATCTTATGGATTTGTGGAGCAAACTCGATGGCTTGCATGTAAAATCCTTAAAAAAGAATTTCTTCTAAAGCAGCGTGAAAGAGAGAGGAATGCGAGTGATGAAATAACGGCTTCGGGATTAGAGTGATGGAGTCTCTCTTGAGAATTCTTTAAGCATTGTATCTATGTATTGTCCTCGTTATGTTCATATTAGTTGAATGTATGATAAGCAAACTGAA